CCTTCAGTCTTGGCTCCGTTTCTGTCTCATGGAGGTCCCCTCGTTCTTCTTTTGTGCTTGGTTCCAGCTGTGAGGCCGAGATCTACGCTGGGGCCATGGCTGCACAGGAGCTACCTGCTGACCGACTTGGGGGAGCAGCCTCGTTCTCCTCCAGTTATGTACGTCGACAACAAGGCAATGCTTGCCTTGTGTCACGAGCAGAGACTGGAGCACAAAACGAAGCACATTGCTCTTCGCTACTTCCTTGCGCGTGAGCTGCAGCAGCGTCATCAGCTCCGCCTTTCCTTCGTGGCCTTGCGGGCCAACACTGCTGATGTGTTCACCAAGGCCCTTGGGTCTGGTGATCATCAGCGTTTCTGCACTGCTCTTGGGCTTGTGCCCACTCTGCCTCACCTGCTGGTTGCTTGACTTGCTCTTGTTGTACACTGATATATATCTTTATACTTGCTTGTTTACTCTTGCTAGGTTGTGATCAGTGTACTGCCTTGCTATTATAACTCTGCATGTGAACTGGCCTTGTGGTCGCTTGCTTGTGCTCAGATTGTGTGGTGTCCTTGAGATCCACCCTGAGCTTTGCTTTGCTTTGTTCTCTTGCTTGACTGGTCTTTTGACCATCTGTTGTGTTTGCTATCTCCCACTTAGCCTATAGGGGTGAATCAAACTATATGTTTGTGTTCTTTCTAGGCTATAATGGGTTAGCCTACAAGGGGAACAACACTTTAGGGTTAGTACTTGTACCCAACTCATTCATAGTTCATTCATTCCTGTACAGTTATTCTGACACAACACTGCTGATGTCTTCACCAAGGCCCTTGGGTCCGGTGATCATCAACGTTTCTGCACTGCTCTAGGCCTTGTGCCTACTCTGCCTCACCTGCTGGTTGCTTGACTTATCTTGTACTGTGATCTATATATGTATATATTTATATACACTTGTATGCTTGTTCTTGCTAGGTTGTGATCACTGTACTGCTTGTGCTTTTATAACTCTGCATGTGAATTGGCCTTGAGGCCGCTTGCTTGTGCTCAGAATGCGTGGTGATCTTGAGATCCACCCTGAGCTTTGCTTTGCTTTGTTCTCTTGCTTGACTGGTCTTGTGACCCAGGGCTGATTTTATCAGGGTAATTACCCTGATTTCAGGGTGATTTCAGGCTTTCCACTTCGTGGAGACTGAAATTTCAGAGTTATTGAATTTCCAGCCCTGATCCAATCAGAGTAATAGTTTAGCTATCCCTGATTTTGAGTACAGTGTAACAGACTAGGCTGTTAGTGGACCCTGACTTAACAGAGTATCGACTGTGTGGACCCTGACTTATCGAGAGGAAGTTTCTCGGAAGTTTCCTTCCGATGACCCCGCCTTGGATTGATCGCAGTGATCCCCCCACATGTGCGTAATCCCCCCCCTTCCCGCTTTATCGAGACGAAGTTTCTTCGAAACTTCGTTCTGATACACCTACCATCGTGAATCTGCAATGTCAGATATACTTTGCTGGGATTGGTCGAAATAGGTTCGCGGAAATCTGTGACTCGAACAGGTGTGACTCGCCCGTTCGATCGGTACACTCGCTCCAGAAGGAAAGCCTCTGAGGGTGACTAACTACAGTCGCAGCGTGTCTGATGCATGCCAGCTGAAGAGATCCAATTGGGCATGGTAATAAGACAGGGAAACGTTACACTCGCACACCAGATAGGTCAATCACACCCGCCCTGCACAAATCAGTCGAGTGTACAGCCAGCAGGAAACACAGCGCGCAGACTTTATGGAGAGAGGGGATATTTTCCCCGGTAACAAAGCGCGCGTTACTACTCTGATGTTCAGTTCTCGACCCTGAACAATCAATGTTAACTACTTTACAACCCTGAGCAATCAGGGTACTGCTTTTCTGGAAAATGTGCACCCATAATAGAGGGGGAAATTTTTCCCCGGAATCAGGGAGGCTTAAAATGAAACGTCAGCCCTGTTGTGACCGTCCGCTGTGTTTGCTATCCTCCACTTTGCCTATGGGGGTATGTCAAATTGTATTTGTTCAATGTATGCTGTAGTGGGGCATACCCTAAAGGGTACAACACTTAAGGGTTAGGTAGTACTTCTCCTACCCAGTCCATCATTCGTACGTTCCTATTCTGACAGTCCGGAGCGCGGGTTACCAACCGAACCGTAAGGTTGGGTCGCGTCGTGAACAGTGGCGGGATAGTGGTCGAGGCGAGTGTGGCGAGCGGGTAACGTTGCACTGTTGGGTGTACGTGGTAAGCAGGGACGCGACGTAAGGAAAATGAATTTTCCTGACGCACAAATATTCAAAGTTTACATTGATAAGGTGCTCAAGCAAACGGAGTTGCAATTCCCGTACACAGCAAAAGGATGCACTATTGTTTGCTGTGTGCCAGCCAATGCCTAAAACCACAATTCCCGTACCCTGGAAAATCATAAACTTCGGTGCACTACGGTCAGAGTAGGAGACGCTAGTTGGAACAGGGATGGCTCGCTGACAGTAGCGGCTACACGAATTTATTTTTCAGACCTTCGAAATTAGACGCGGCGCGTGTAGGCGTGTTAGATGTATGTAATGGCAATGTCTGCACTCGCACGAGGCGCCTCGCCGGCAGCCATGTTCCACGCCGCCTTTAGCGCTCGCCGCGGTGTTGCGACCGCATATTCCGCAAGATCCCCCGCGCAGACGTCTCTTCCGCCATCTGCGCTTCCGCCATCTCCTCTTGCGCCGCGTTCCGAGGCACACGCGCGACGCGCTCGTTTGATCATCACCGCTACCGCGGCGGCGGCGGATGGGCGAGAAGGAAGCACATCGCCGCAGGAAGCGGCGCGAGACGCGGCCGATTCGACCCGCCGTGGGCGGCAAAGAAGGCGAACGAAGCTCGGTGGCGGTCCGGATGTAGGATCGCCTCATAGTTCGGATCTAGGTTCGCCAGAAAGTTCGAACTCAGGTTCGCCTCGAAGTTCGAATCTAGGATCGCCTCAAAGTTCGGGTGGCAGCAGCGGTGGTAACCCTGCGAGCAGAGGGGAATGGCAGGGTGGAATGGAGGCGAATGGCGGTGGGATTTTGGGCGGAGGGGAAAGCGCGGGAATGGGCGGAGAAAGACGTGTGGGGATGCGCGGAGAGGGAAGCGCGGGGATGGGCGGCAGCGGCGGCGGGGGGAGGCGGATCGGGGGAGGGGGCGCGGAGGGGATGAGCGCAGCGCGGCAGCGGCGGCTGGAGAAAACGCGGGAGGCGCGCGAGCAGCGGAAGGAGTCCGCGGAGGAGGAGTTTCAGCAGTGGGCGAGGTGAGGGGGAAGGGGTTAGGGAAGGGGGGGGAAGAGGAGGGTGGGGGAAAGAACAGAAGGTGGATCGGAAGGAGTCCGAGGGGGAGGAGTTTCAGCAGTGGGCGAGGTGAGGGGCGGAGGGGGGGAAAGGGGGAGGGGGAAAGGGGGGAAGAAAGAGGCGGAAAGGGAGGGAGAGAGAGAGGGTGCGGGGAAAGGGCGGAGGGGGAGAGTGAAGGTGGAGGGAGTGAGGGTTTCGGGGTTGGGGTTTAAGAGTGGGACAGACAGCAACAAGTGCTTATATCGGTGCAGCAGGAAAGAATGTGTGTGAATGCTCCCATACCCGCACAACCAGTCCCTATCTTCTGCCTTTCCCCACACCTCCGTCCCTCCTTCCCCCCCACCCACCCCTGTCCCTCGTTCCGCTTTCCTCATCCCCTCCCCAGCCAAGTGGCAGCGCAGGACCCCGAGGTCATGGAGATGCCATGCGGAACCATCTGCTCTTAACCCCCACCCACTCACACCGCACTGCACTCCCCTTTTGTTCGTTGCCGGCCAAGTGGCAGCGCAGGACCCCGAGCTGATGGAGATGTTTTGAGATGCCATTCTGGACCCTCTGCTCACCCCCACCTGCCCCACCCGCACTCCACTCCTCTCCAATTCACTCCACTTCACTCCACTCCACTCCACTCCACTCCACTCCACTCCCCTGTCCCCCCCTTTGTGCCTTGGCAGCCAAGTAGCCTCACAGGACCCCGAGCTGATGGAGCTGTTCGGAGATGCCATGCTGGACCCTCAGCAGTCTGACCTCATAAGGCTTACACACCCTGATCCGCAACTGTAAACCCTAAACCTGAAACCCAGAACCCTGACCCGACTTTTGAGGCGCCTCAAAAGTCGTCCCTGACCCGCAACAGTAAAGATGAAAACCCAGAAGACTTTTGAGTCGATTCAAAAGTCAAGTCGTCCCTGACCCACAACTGTAAACGTGGAAACCCAGAACCCTGACCCGTGCACACTTCAACACGGAACCGTCGTCAACAGCGCACTTCCAATCAAAGCAGTCTTGAAGTTTCCATTATGAAATCCTTGTGATATGATCGATTTTTCAGAGGCGGCTCGAAACTCAAAGCAGGCAGAGCTGTTATCTTAGCACTGCCGCCCAACACTAGAACCCTGAACCTTAACGCCCCACCCCTTTCTCCCCCTGCCTGCCTGATGGAGGAGCACATTCGCTCAATGCAGGCAGAGCTGCTGTCTTAACATGCTCCCCCCCCACCTCTAGAACCCTGAACCCTGACCCTTACTCCCCTCCCCACCCTTTCCCCTCTCCCACTGCTGCCAGATGGAGGAGCGCATTCGATCAAAGCAGGCGGAGCTGAGAGCTAAGCCTGCTGCTGCTTAAACCCGAAACCCAATACCCGATACTCGATACTCAACACCCCCCCCCCCCCCCCTGCCTGCCAGATGGAGGAGCGCATTTGCTCAAAAGCAGGCAGAGCTGAGAGCTAGGTCAACCCTGCTGCTGCTTAAACCCGAAACCCAATACCCGATACTCTTCCCTTACCCCTCTCCCCCTGCCTGCCAGATGGAGGAGCGCATTCGATCAAAGCAGGCGGAGCTGAGATATTGACCCTACCCATAATAACCCCTCACCCCTCTCACCCCTCCCTTCTTACCCCTCCCTTCTCACCTCTCCCTTCTCTCCCCCTCTACCCCCCAGAGCGCATTCGATCAAAGCAGGCAGAGCTGCTGGCAGAGAAGCTTGGCAGTGGAGCCACGATGCAGGTGGCCATTAAAGAGTATGTACAGTATTTGATGTACAGTATATAATGTAGCGAGGCAGTGGAGTCACGATGCAGGTGGCCATTAAAGAGTATGTACAGTATTTGATGTACAGTACATAATGTAGCGAGGCAGTGGAGCCACGATGCAGGTGGCCATTAAAGAGTATGTACTGTGCAGTATTGATATAGCCATTGTAGAATTTACCATTCCATTAGACCTGTATATTTGTTTGAGAGCTGCCTAGATTTGCTTTTGAAGGATTAGTGACTTTGCTGTAAAGAATACTCTTGCTTACTCCTTTTTACCTCTTGATATTGCCCCTTGCCTTCATCCGCTTTTTGAGGTTTATCCAACTTACTTGTGCATTTGGTTTGAGTTGCACGTAGTATTCTTTTCTTTTTGCTTTTTGTACCTTGACCCCGCTCCTATCCCCTATCCCCGTTATAGGATCGGCCCGTTTGACATGCACATCTGGTTCGAGCTTCACATATAAACCTTATCCTTCTTATCCTCCCTGTTATCCCTGTCCTCGTTATAGGATTGACCCATTCGACATGTACATCTGGTTCGAGCTTCACAAGACACCGTCAGAAGACGATATGAACACACTCGGCAGTGTGAGTGGGCTGATTTCAGGAAGGGTTTTCAATCTCTACACCCTTGCCTTGTTCCACTGCTCGCCTTTTGAGGCGCCTAATAAACACCATCAGAAGACGAAATGAATGCACTAAACAGTGTGAGTGGACAGGTTTTCAGGAAGGATTTTTACTTCATATGCGCTCGCTCGTTCCATTCCTCGCCTTCTTGTTCCTTTGTTCATCTGTCTGACTCTGTTTCTCTCACAACAACCCCTTCCCGTCTCCCCTGTCCCTTCACTCTTCCTTCCCCATCCACATCCCCACCACCATGGCAGGTCATCCGAGCATGGTACGTGGTGGGCAAGCTGGGAGGTTACAACTCAGCCAACCTGCAGGTACCATTCTATACCACTCTGGGAAACCTTGAACAGTAGCCTGGCAGGATACGAGGTCATCCGAGCATGGTACGTGGTGGGCAAGCTGGGAGGGTACAACTCCGCCAACCTGCAGGTAGGAGGGTAGGCAGAGGGGCTTGCATTGCATGGTATCCCATTATGGCTGGCCGTGCAAGGGAGGGGGGATGTGTATGTATGTACGCACCAAGCATGGCAAGTCATCCGAGCGTGGTACGTGGTGGGCAAGCTGGGAGGCTACACTCCGCCAACTGCAGGTGAGAAGCTAGGGGGCCTTGTAGGGAGGGGGTGTGTGTATCCCACCATGGCAGGCCGTGCGAGGGAGGGATGTGTGTGTGTGCTCACCATGGCATGGCAGGCCATCACAGCATGGTACGTGTGGTGGGCAAGCTAGGGGGGCACAACTCATCAAACCTGCAGGTACGTCTGTTTAGTCTCTCGGTGGGTTGGTAGGGGGGGAACCCATATTGTGAGATTACGTATATTTCCCCCACACGGTCGCCTGCTGCTGTGAGATTGAAATGCAAGGGGGGGTGGTGGTATGGTATGTGGTGGACATAGGTCAAGCTGGGAGGGGTCAAATCCACCAACCGGCAGGTGCCACTCTCTAGTCTCGGTTAGCCGGCCGACGACACATTTCCTCCTTCCCATGCTGGTCGGCCGTGAGAGAGTGGAGTGGAGAGAGTGGAGTGGAATGCAAGCCGTGTGGCTCGTGGTGGGCAGTGAGCAAAGTACAAGAATGATGTGGGCACGGCAGCATGTTTTAGGCGCCTCAAAAGCCGTGTGGCTCGTGGTGGGCAGTGGGCAAAGTACAAGTACGATGTGGGCACGGCAGCAGCTGCCCTGCCTGCTGCTCTTGTGTACCCAAGTACCTCTTGTTTATCCACCTCCCTCTTTTCACCCTGCCATCCCTCCGCATCCCCAGCTAATGGAGGGAGATGAATCCTCAAAGTACAAGCATGATGTGGGCACGGCAGCAGCTGCCCTGCCTGCTGCTCTTGTGTACCCAAGTACCTCTTGTGTACCCAAGTACCTCTTGTGTACCCAAGTACCTCTTGTGTACCCAAGTACCTCTTGTGTACCCAAGTACCTCTTGTGTACCCAAGTACCTCTTGTGTACCCAAGTACCTCTTGTGTACCCAAGTACCTCTTGTGTACCCAAGTACCTCTTGTGTACCCAAGTACCTCTTGTGTACCCAAGTACCTCTTGTGTACCCAAGTACCTCTTGTGTACCCAAGTACCTCTTGTGTACCCAAGTACCTCTTGTGTACCCAAGTACCTCTTGTGTACCCAAGTACCTCTTGTGTACCCAAGTACCTCTTGTGTACCCAAGTACCTCTTGTGTACCCAAGTACCTCTTGTGTACCCAAGTACCTCTTGTGTACCCAAGTACCTCTTGTGTACCCAAGTACCTCTTGTGTACCCAAGTACCTCTTGTGTACCCAAGTACCTCTTGTGTACCCAAGTACCTCTTGTGTACCCAAGTACCTCTTGTGTACCCAAGTACCTCTTGTGTACCCAAGTACCTCTTGTGTACCCAAGTACCTCTTCTGTACCCAAGTACCTCTTGTGTACCCAAGTACCTCTTGTGTACCCAAGTACCTCTTGTGTACCCAAGTACCTCTTGTGTACCCAAGTACCTCTTGTGTACCCAAGTACCTCTTGTGTACCCAAGTACCTCTTGTGTCCCCAAGTACCTCTTGTGTCCCCAAGTACCTCTTGTGTACCCAAGTACCTCTTGTGTACCCAAGTACCTCTTGTTTATCCACCTGCCTCCATTAGCTTGTGCCACCTCCCTCTTTTCACCCTGCCATCCCTCCGCATCCCCAGCTAATGGAGAGAGATGAATCCTCAAAGTACAAGTACGATGTGGGCACAGCTGCATCCGCCCTGCGTCCGCCTGTGTCTCCCTGTTGTGCCTGTTACTCCCCCTCCCTCCCAGCTAATGGAGGGCGATGAATCATCCAAATACAAGTACGATGTGGGCACAGCAGCATCTGCGCTCCCTGCCTTGATGCACAACGTTGGGGACCTCGAGTTTCAAGACAACCTGGGGAGGATATGGTAAGACTTGCACCGTGGTTACATGTGGGAGCAATGATGCAGTGTGGGCACAGCAGCATCTGAAGAAGGAGAGCCTCTGGCCACAACCGTATCACTCGATGCAGGTGCTGTTATTAGTAAACAGGTAGGCTGCGGAGGTCTGACATCCATCAACTTGGATGTTATTAAGACGGCGAAACAAACTCCATGAGATGAAAGTGGGAAGTCTGGTTTAAGCTTGTATGCTAGATCGTATTTTAGTAAGCCAGTTTGAACGAAAACGGAATCTTAAAATCAGAACTTGAGTAAACTAGTTTCGGCTCTTGCGAGCCTTCATCAGTACAAACAAGTCTGAGAATAAGAGACGGTAATGAACAAACTAGCTGAAATACTCTACGATCAGGCTGAGCTAACCAGGCAGATGGATGAAGATGTCGAGGCGGAAATGGAGTGAGATCTCGAGGTGAGTCCAGGACTCTGACCCAAATCTTCGGAACTCTGTTGGGATGTTCGCGAAAGTTGGTAACCAGGGCCGAGAAGTCGAGAAGGTGGTAACACCACCTTTGTCGCTCGGAAAAGTTCAAGCTGCTGCGACAGGTTGGAGCCTCGATTGAATCAGTCTTCGTTTTAAACGGGAAGGCAGCTTCCACGCTAGCAGAAATCTACAGGAACCAGAAAGAATGAAGCCACGTAAAAAAAGGAGTGTTTTGAGACGTCTCAAAACGAACCCAAGGGGTAGACTTTTACTGTAAGGAGTATAATTAGTCTTAAGCACCAAGGGTTCGTGAGGTCTCAATTCTGGTCCCGCAGTAGATCGAAGCTGCTGTCGTCGTAGAGCTTGTATTAAGAGTGCATCGCGTTGACTGAAAGTGATGGCCGTAAAGAGAGGTAGCAGGAAATGATGCGGATATCCCCTGGAGCGTAGCCTTTTGAAAAAAGCCCGCTTCATGCTGCAGAAATCGTCGAAACTGGAGCTTCTGAGCAGATAGCGTTTTAGCTCGGAGCGGATAAAACCTTCCTTACAGTGCCGTGGATGGAATGATGAGAATGGAAGGTAGAGGTACGTGTTGTTGGGTTTCTGGAATGTAGAGATGTCCAGTAGACCTGAGCAGTTGAAACGCTGTCCTCTATGGATGACTAAATCCAGGAAATCAACTGAAGTCTCGGAAATCGTCCATGTAAGCTTGATTGTAGGTCGGAGCGAATTGAAGGCTGCTAAGAAATCCTCTAATCCTTCTTGACTCCCCTCCCAGCAGATGAAACCATCATCAATGTAGCGGAGATGGAGAAGAGGGACGTTTGGACCCATGCGAGCTCGGAGTATTTCGTCCAACCGACTCATGTAGAGGATGGCGAAGCAAACTGCGACTGAGGTTCCCATCGCGGTCCCCTGGATCTGCCGAAATATCCTACCATCGAAATCCACGTAAGAGTTAAACATCACCCATTCCAACAAAGCCACGATGACTGGTGCATTAGGGAAACGAAGCGGATCTCGCTCCAGAAAGGAACGGATTACGTCGACTCCTTCTCGTAGCGGAATAGAAGGATAGAGTGCTTGGACATCGTACGTGGCGAGTAGTAACTTCCTCGGCATAGGCGTTTTTTCCAGGTGAAGAAGCAGCGACAGTGAGTCTCTCAGGTATGTCGGTTGTTGGAGAACTAACGGGCGGAGTGCAGAGTCTAACCAGCGACTGACGTTTCTTCCGACGACGATTCATCCGACTCAGAGGCCTTTCAAGAGGCCTCCCGCTTTTTCGTCTTTCGCGCTACCAAGCGTCAGCGAGAGGAATCTGACAATTCCCTTCAGCTGGAAAACGGAAAGCTTGAGTTTACTCCAATTCCATATCGAACCGCTCATCCCAAGACATTACGCCGACAAGCATTTAAAACACCAAGAATAATAGCTTCCGCGTCACCGGCAATGGCTACTAACGCAGACGATGCAGGTGTCAATGTGATCGAGGGAGTTAACATCTCCCAACATACACTTGAAGCGGCTTTTTCGCCAGAAGGAAACAGACAAGATGCAGGTCCTATGCTTCAAGATCAAGGACTCTGTTTTGGAAATGATCTATGTCCAGCTCCCTTTAAAAAATGGCAACAAGAAGCTATTTCGAAAGCTATCAAGTCCTATGCTACATATCTCAGCCTCAAGCAACAGGTCGCTAAAATGAAGTTAATTGACGGCAGGAAGGAGTTGCTGCACAGCATCAGAACCAAAGCCGTTCAGTTTCAGACCACCAATGAGGCTATTAAGAAGGCCGCTGATGATAAGATCTCCTCTCTGCACAATGATGCTCTTCTAGAGCAACAGAAAGTTTTCATTGAAGCCAAGGAGGAGTTAATGACTACCGCTTTTAATGAGGCCAATGGTGCTGTTTCTCTTCTGGATGGATTAATTTCCAGTTATATTAACGGCATTAAAGCTATGGAAGAAGATTCCAGACGAAATAAAGCTATCGAAGTCATGGAATTCTTCAGAGGGAAGCTCATCCAAGAAGCTATTGCCGCTGTCGAGATTCAACAGACCAAGGCATTCATGGAATTTCATGAGAATCAGCGACTCAAGAATGAAGCAGAGATGGTTAAGAAGGCAGCTCAAGAACAACTTCAGAATATGGAGACAGAGCCTAGGATGAGGGAAGTTGCTAAGGATGTTGTTGACTCCAAACTTTCTGCAGTGCTTAAACGACTTGAAAAACTTGAGTTGCAGAATCAGTCATCAGCTAAAGGGAAGCAGCCACAGCAGCAGCAACAGCAGCAGCAGCAACAGCCGCAGGGACAGCAGCAGAAGAAGCAGCAGACCCAGCAGCAACAGCAGCAGCAGCAACAGCAGCCGCAGCAGCAACCTCAAGCACCTGCTACAGCAGAGGACAAAGGGGAAAAGAAGAAGAAGAAACGGTGGTACAAACCAAAAAACGGAGGAGGCCCCACAAGGGGCCAGCGCAGCTAACAAGCAAGGAGTTAGCACTCCGCTGGTTTGGGCGATTGACCGAGTCTCAGGCTAAGACCCGGATCATCAACCACGGAGTGTTTAATTTGAGCTCCCACAGCCTGACACCTGCTGAACGAAGTGTTCTAGGGCTGGGACTCAAGTTTGTCTTACCTCATGCGCAGCCGTTTTCTCCTTCTGAAATCTTTAACGATTTTTCCAATCTGTTCAGGTCTATAAAGCTACAGGAATTCTTTAAAGGAACAGGACGTACTGACAGTCGTTTTCGAGTTAGTAATCCCGGTTGGTTGCCTGAAGAAGATGAGAAGCTGGAAGCAGTTTTCGAAGAAACCAGAAAGGATTTATCCTGCCTGCTATCTCAGACACCTTACCTTCCTAAGGGTTATTATAAAGCCATCCGCGGACTCGCCTCCAATTCAAACCTCATCATCAAGCAAGCCGACAAGAACATGGGGATTACCTTGATGGACCGTACGGCCTACATTCAAGAGTGCCTAAATCATCTCCTGGACAGAAGCACTTACATTGAAATTGACACAGCTGCAGCAGATTTTGAAGATCCACGGTCTTCGGTTTTTGCTAAGTTGGTTGATATCCGTGCTAACCTTGGACCTTTACTCCCTAGATACTTGTGGACTTATTTTGCTCACCCTCCGACAAACGGCTGGAAGCCGGCCAACTTCTATGTCATCATGAAAGTGCACAAGAAGATCCCTGTCGGACGACCAATAGCAGCTTCCCATTCCTGGGTTACCGCGAACGTCAGTCGCTGGTTAGACTCTGCACTCCGCCCGTTAGTTCTCCAACAACCGACATACCTGAGAGACTCACTGTCGCTGCTTCTTCACCTGGAAAAAACGCCTATGCCGAGGAAGTTACTACTCGCCACGTACGATGTCCAAGCACTCTATCCTTCTATTCCGCTACGAGAAGGAGTCGACGTAATCCGTTCCTTTCTGGAGCGAGATCCGCTTCGTTTCCCTAATGCACCAGTCATCGTGGCTTTGTTGGAATGGGTGATGTTTAACTCTTACGTGGATTTCGATGGTAGGATATTTCGGCAGATCCAGGGGACCGCGATGGGAACCTCAGTCGCAGTTTGCTTCGCCATCCTCTACATGAGTCGGTTGGACGAAATACTCCGCGCTCGCATGGGTCCAAACGTCCCTCTTCTCCATCTCCGCTACATTGATGATGGTTTCATCTGCTGGGAGGGGAGTCAAGAAGGATTAGAGGACTTCTTAGCAGCCTTCAATTCGCTCCGACCTACAATCAAGCTTACATGGACGATTTCCGAGACTTCAGTTGATTTCCTGGATTTAGTCATCCATAGAGGACAGCGTTTCAACTGCTCAGGTCTACTGGACATCTCTACATTCCAGAAACCCAACAACACGTACCTCTACCTTCCATTCTCATCATTCCATCCACGGCACTGTAAGGAAGGTTTTATCCGCTCCGAGCTAAAACGCTATCTGCTCAGAAGCTCCAGTTTCGACGATTTCTGCAGCATGAAGCGGGCTTTTTTCAAAAGGCTACGCTCCAGGGGATATCCGCATCATTTCCTGCTACCTCTCTTTACGGCCATCACTTTCAGTCAACGCGATGCACTCTTACTACAAGCTCTACGACGACAGCAGCTTCGATCTACTGCGGGACCAGAATTGAGACCTCACGGACCCTTGGTGCTTAAGACTAATTATACTCCTTACAGTAAAAGTCTACCCCTTGGGTTCGTTTTGAGACGTCTCAAAACACTCCTTTTTTCACGTGGCTTCATTCTTTCTGGTTCCTGTAGATTTCTGCTAGCGTGGAAGCTGCCTTCCCGTTTAAAACGAAGACTGATTCAATCGAGGCTCCAACCTGTCGCAGCAGCTTGAACTTTTCCGAGCGACAAAGGTGGTGTTACCACCTTCTCGACTTCTCGGCCCTGGTTACCAACTTTCGCGAACATCCCAACAGAGTTCCGAAGATTTGGGTCAGAGTCCTGGACTCACCTCGAGATCTCACTCCATTTCCGCCTCGACATCTTCATCCATCTGCCTGGTTAGCTCAGCCTGATCGTAGAGTATTTCAGCTAGTTTGTTCATTACCGTCTCTTATTCTCAGGCTTGTTTGTACTGATGAAGGCTCGCAAGAGCCGAAACTAGTTTACTCAAGTTCTGATTTTAAGATTCCGTTTTCGTTCAAACTGGCTTACTAAAATACGATCTAGCATACAAGCTTAAACCAGACTTCCCACTTTCATCTCATGGAGTTTGTTTTGCCGTCTTAATAACATCCAAGTTGATGGATGTCAGACCTCCGCAGCCCACCTGTTTACTAACAGCACATGCAGTGTGGGCACAGCAGCATCTGCGCTCCCTGCCTTGATGCACAATGTTGGCGACCTGGAATTTCAAGACAACCTGGGGAGAGTATGGTGAGAAGGTTACCAGATGTGGTTGCTAGGTGTGGTTGCCAGATGCGGTTACATTTGGAAGCATAGTGTGTGTGGACACAGCGTTACCTGCCTGCCTTCATGCACAACGTTGGCGATCTCGAGTTTCAAGACAACCTGGGGAGAATATGGTGAGACTCACAGTGTGGTTACCATATGGTTACCACCTAGGGGGTGACTATATATTCTTTTGAGCACAGCAGCGTCTGCTTTACCTGCGTTGATGCACAACGTTGGCGACCTGGAGTTTCAAGACAACCTGAGGAGAATATGGTGAGACCGTGAGACTGGGATGGGGGTAGCAGCTGCCCTCCCTGCCTTGATGCACAACGTTGGTGACCTCGAGTTTCAAGACAATCTTGGGAGAATATGGTGAGAGAAAAGGCTACCATTAAAGATGGTCACCAGATGTGGTTACGTTTGAGAGCCTAGTGTGTGAATACAGCACTGCCTGCCTTGATGCACACGTGGGCACGGCAGCAGCTGCTTTACCTGCCTTGATGCACACGTGGGCACGGCAGCAGCTGCTTTACCTGCCTTGATGCACACGTGGGCATGGCAGCAGCTGCTTTACCTGCCTTGATGCACACGTGGGCACGGCAGCAGCTGCTTTACCTGCCTTGATGCACACGTGGGCACGGCAGCAGCTGCTTTACCTGCCTTGATGCACACGTGGGCACTGCAGCAGCTGCTTTACCTGCCTTGATGCACAACGTTGGTGACCTGACCTGTGGTTGCAAGACAACCTGGGGAGGATATGGTGAGACAGCCCCACCGAGACTCACGTTGTGGTTGCAGGATAGACATGGGCACAGCTGACATGATGGCAATCGCCATTCTCCTCAACTCTTCCCTCTCCTTGCTCCATCTTTCCTCCACTCGCACTCTCCCCACACACACCCACACACCCTCTCTCCTCAGGATAGACATGGGCACAGCTGACATGATGGCAATCGCTATCCTCCTCAACTCTCCCTCTCCTCCCTGCCCTCTCTTCCACACACACACACACACACACACACACACACACACACACACACACACACACACACACAACCACACACTCTTTTCCCCCCCTCACCAGGCTAGACATGGGAACAGCAGACATGATGGCTGTTGACATTCTCATCAACTCCCTCAATGCTGTTAGCTCCGAGTGAGTGCTTTGAAGTATTTTCGTGTGCCGGTTGCTACACTACTTGTGGTGATTTGCAAATAATATCATATAAGTCTTTCAAATTTACAACTAACTGATTTATTGGTTCGCTCCAGTTTCGCCTTTTACTCCAATGTGGCATCAGGATTGTTTGTCATATGATGCCAAGTTTGTGCTTATGCCCCCTTTTTACTTTTCTTGCAGCCATGTGGGTATAAGAAAGGTGACAGTTGGCGGTTCAAAGATGGACGATTGGGAGGAAGGCATGACACGGCCTGAAGATGGTTATCAATCCTATAGCATATGAATGAACATTATTGTTTTGCTGAGTTTGTCTGAATGGCGTCATTTCGTGTAGGAATGGTGCAGACGGACGCATTAATACGATAGTACTGAGAAAGGTACCGTATATTTCACACTTTTTCAGCCTACTGGTCAGTGTTGTAATGTGTGCACCCAACCATCTTGAATCTTGTTTTTGCATTGAAATGGTTTTTATGGCTATGTCTTATACCGTCTATTCCCGGATATAAGACCCGGGGGACTTTATAAAAATTCAATCTAAAATGGTTGGGTGAACATCATGGTGGCTGGAAATAGAAAAGACCCTTAAGCACTTATATAACGCTGAACATTGATTTACAATGCCTATTTAAATGGTCGGGGGGGTCTCTTATTTGGAAAAAACGTGGTCTTACGTCGAGGATGCGCGAAATCGCTGAGTCACGCAGAAGTGCCTCGATGTGCACATCTTGCACATCTCACTACGAGGCGTTCGGCCTTATCGCCTGTCATCTTGGTCCTTGCTGAAATGTATTACCGGTACAAAAAAACCGTCATAACCAGTACCGTAATTCGGGACCTAGGGGGGTCTTATAATCGCTGGGGTGAAAAGGGGGGTCCTCACAGATTCGACCATATTAAGCGTACACCCCCCCGCATATAAGCCCCATGGGACTTTTATTCCGGAGGGTCTTATATCCGGGAATAGACGGTAGGTATCGGGACAAATGTTTTAGGATTCTGCGTTTTGTATGGATGATTGGGGTATTTGAAGTGTTCAGTTAAGACTTAGCGCAAACTCAGTACCGCATAATAATCCATGTCGCTTGCGAACGAGGCGTTAAGACTGCTTGTTTTAGGGCATCTAGACATGCTTAACCTAGGGCACATGGTGCTGGCTATTACCGTAGGCAACATATTTCTATGGTAGCATGGCTAATTGACGTGCACTGGCAGAAAATGGAAAGAAAAGTTGACACACATACACACACACACACACACACAAACACAAACACACACACACACAACACACACACACACACACACGTACACCCATACACACACACACACACACAAACACACACAAATACACAGGCATATTTAGAGACAGACATACACATACACACACGCATATGCATACACACATGCACACACACACAAACACACATATATACACACACATACACACACACAAAGATAGACAGAGACAGAGACAGACATACAGACTCACACATGTCGAACATTAATCACATAGCCTGTTTAGGCTGTAGTGGGGTAGACACTATGGGGTACAGTTTCTTAGGGTTTCATATTTGTACCCAACTCATTTTCTAGTCCATCATTCATTCCTATGATTCTCACATGGTATAGAGCAGGTTCCCTAGTGGAACTGTTCCTTCCTATGGGCCCACCTTATTTTTTTTTTCCTGCCCGAAGCGCGCTTTGCGCCCTGCCCTAGTCTTTCGCGGCCCCTTAGCGGCCTGCCCTGCCCTTTGCGGACTGCCCTACCCCTTACGCGGCCCCTTACGCGGCCCCGTCGCGGCCCTGTCGCGGCCCCTTACGCGGCCCCTTCCGCGGCCCCGTCGCGGCCCCTTACGCGGCCCCTTCCGCGGCCCCGTCGCGGCCCCTTACGCGGCCCCTTACGCGGCCCCGTCGCGGCCCCTTACGCGGCCCCGTCGCGGCCCCTTACGCGGCCCCTTACGCGGCCCCCTTCCGCGGCCCCCTATGCGGCCCCTTATGCGGCCCCTTCCGCGCCCCCCCTACGCGGCCCCTTACGCGGCCCCTTCCGTGGCCCCCTACGCGGCCCCCCCCTTCTGCTGATGCTGACAGTACTGTTCGCTCGCAGTGGCTCACGCGCGATGCTGCTGCCCGCCTTGCTGTGCGTAGTCACCTACCGTCTACTGAGCGCGCGCACTTTAGTCAGTACAAGAGTGCTAAGACTCTGTACGACGCTGTAGTTGCACGCTACTCTTCCCCTGCCATTGCTGCGCTTAGCCGCCTCATGCTACCGTACCTGTTCCCTGACCTCGCCGCTTTTGCCACAGTCACTGACCTCATTACGCACCTCCGCACTAGTGACACTCGCTACCGCGCTGCACTTCCTGCTGAGTTCTGCGCACGGAACCCCCCCCCCATGTACATCACCCTCTACTACCTAGTCACCCGACTCCCTGACAATCTTCGCTCGGTCAGGGACCACTTCCTCTCTCTTTGCCCTACCACCCTCACCGTTGACCTCCTCGAGGAGCGCCTCCTTGCAGCAGAGACTAGTATTACCGCTGTAGGAGCCTCTCGTGGTGACCCCCGTACCCCTTTCTTTGAGGGGTGCTCCCCCGTTCCTCTTTTGCCCTCCGTTGCCTCTTCTGCTGCTGTCGACCTTGTTGGCACCGAGTCGGTCAGCGCTGCGTCTGCTCCTAGTGAGAGGCGCCGCAACAGCAAGGGCAAGCGGGGCAAGGGCGCTGGAGGAGGTGGTGGGGGAGGCGGTAGTGGCGGTGGAGGCGGAGGAGGGGGTGGGGGTGGGGGTGGTGGCAGAGGTGGGGGCTTCGGTGGCAGCGGTGGAGGTGGAGGCGGCGGTGGCGGTGGCGGTTGAGGTGGAGGAGGCGGAGGCGGCGGCGGCGGAGGTGGAGCTGGTAGAGGCGGAGCTGTGCAGCGGGGACCCCAGCACCAGTCACGCTCTCGTGAGACCCCGTCGCCCCAGCAGCTTCGTGAGTGGTACGCAGGGCGCCAGGGGTCTGGGGGTGCTGGTCCCTGTGCCTACGTCCTGCGCACAGGCGACCGCACTGGAGAGCAGTGTGGTGGCCAGCACGCCACCCAGCGCTGCTTCGGTCGCCTGACAGACGCCTGGCATACCCAGTTCCCTGACGCCACTGAGATCCCTCGCTGGGGTGATCTGCTCAAGTCGGGTGTAGCTATCTTTGATCTTGACTTTGATGCTATTCTTGCTGCCATGTATGCTGTGTCTATTAGTGCTGAGGGTGACTGTTACGTGTGTGTTCCGCCTGACCCGGGTATTGAGGTTGCTGCTCTAGGTGCTCGCGAGTCTGCTGCTCCAGGTGCTAGTGAGTCTGCTGCTCTAGGTGCTGGTGAGTCTGCTCTCTCATGTACCGCGTCGGCTCAGGTCTTGCACACCTTCACCCTCGACTCGGGTGCTTCCCGCTCCTTCTTTCGAGACCGCACCACCCTTACGCCGCTCAGTCGGCCGGTTGCGGTCTCCCTGGCAGACCCCTCTGGGGGTCCTGTTCTTGCTCGCTACTCCACTGTCCTCCCGTGTCCGGCGGCCCCGTCCGGCTCCCTGTCTGGTCTCTACCTCCCTTCGTTCTCTACGAACCTGGTGAGTGGTGCTGACCTTCAGGATGCAGGGGTTGACCAGTTCACTCCTGCGAGTAAGCGAGTGACCCACTGCACGTGTGCTCAGACGGGCCGCCACTTGGCCACGTTTACCCATCGACCGGGGTCGAGCCTGTACACACTGACCACAGAGTCTCCCCCGGTTGATGCGTCTGGTCAGGTAGCTGCGTCGAGTCAGGTGTTTGCTGCAGCGTCTCGGTCAGGTCCTGAGTCTGCCCCCTGCTCGTGTCGCCTCCTGTCCCACCAGACCCTCCTCTGGCACCACCGCCTTGGTCACCCCTCCTTGCCTCGTCTCCGAGGCATGGCCTCCCGTGTCCTTGTCTCTGGTCTCCCCCGGTCCCTCCCTCCCCTTCTCCCGGGGCCTGCCCCTACCTGCGTTCCCTGCGTCGAGGGGCGGCAGCGCGCCGCTCCTCACTCCTCCGAGTTTCCCCCGATAGAGGCTCCACTGCAGACTCTTCACATGGACGTGTGGGGCCCAGCCCGCGTCCGTGGACAGGGTCACGAGCGTTACTTCCTGCTGGTCGTTGACGACTACTCGCGTTACACCACAGTCTTCCCCTTGCGCAGCAAGGGTGAGGTCACTGATGTGTTGATCGACTGGATCCGCGTACCTCGTCTCCAGCTCAGAGAGCGTTTCGGCTCGGACTTTCCTGTTCTGCGTCTGCACTCCGACAGAGGCGGAGAGTTTTCCTCCGACCTTCTGCGAGCCTTCTGTCGTGCAGAGGGCATCCGCCAGACGTTCATGCTTCCGGCCTCTCCACAGCAAAATGGGATTGCTGAGCGCAGCATTGGCATGGTCATGGATGTCGCTCGTACGTCCATGATCCATGCGGCTGCTCCCCATTTTCTGTGGCCGTTCGCGGTTCAGTACGCAGCGCATCAGATCAACCTTCAGCCCCGGGTCTCCCTGCCGGAGACCTCCCCTACTCTGCGGTGGACGGGGAAGGTTGGTGATGTGTCTGCGTTCCGTGTCTGGGGATCTCGAGCTTTCGTCCGAGACTTGTCTGCGAACAAGCTGTCCTCCCGTGCTGTTCCTTGCGTCTTTCTCGGCTTTCCCCCTGACGCGCCTGGTTGGCAGTTTTACCACCCCACCTCGCGTCGTGTTCTGTCCTCCCAGAACGTCACGTTTGACGAGTCGGTTCCGTACTACCGTCTCTTCCCCTACCGCACTGCTCCCCTTCCCCCCCCACCGCTCTTCCTCGCGCCCGGTCCCCCCCCGGTAGACCCCCTCCCCCCTCAGGGTCCTGCCCCCTCAGGTGTGTCCCAGGTAGGTGCAGTCGAGCCTGTCGAGGTAGCTGTTGACTCTGGTGCTTCTGGGGGTGCTGAGCCTGAGCGTGCGGAGCCTGGGGTGCTGGGTCTGGGGGTGCTGA